GGGTCAGCAGAGGTCCGCCACACCATGCAGGTCACCCCCCTGGCCAGGGATCGAATTCGTGCTGCAGTGGTTGTGATAGCTTCATAGTGTTGTGCTTTATTCCATTGTGCCATCAGGGAGGGCCTTCACTGGATGCTTCTTAATGAGAGCACAACAACACCAAAACCTCACTCTCCTCTGAGAATTAGAAAATAAGATAGTCTCTGGCCAGTTCAGAAACTCTTTGTGGCCAAAACTTGTGGCACAGCAGAGCCAAGTGCAATGCTATTCCTCCTCAAGAAGTCAAGACTCATATCAGACTTGGTCTCCTTCATCCCCACCATCGTGGAGAAGAACAGAGTAAAGAAGCCTTGCTCTCGCTCCCCTGCACAGGAAAATCCCACCATCCCACCGAGTTAGAATAGTGGAAGTAACATTAATATTGGCTCAATCAATGTTAGGTCTTATGTGTGGGTCTGCTAATCCCAAACAGTCTAGCCAGCCTTCATTTTGTTACCTACAGTTCTGTATTCCTAAAGCAATGTCAGAACTGCCTGGTCGCAGGAGCCCAGCCCTACAAGGCTCAATTAAGAGCATAAAGCTGGATCACCCTGGGAAGGGTGTGCATCATGAGGTATGACTGGAATCCCCAGGGTGCTGATGACAGGTGCATAAACTTAATCGTGACTTATACATCACAAGGTATGACCTCGGAAATGCCTGTGGGGGCCTTTGACTAATGTATAACGAAGGACTCCAGAAGCTGACCAGTGGATGCCTTATTGATAAGATTGGGATTCTGACTGGGGAGTCAAGGCTTGATCTACGATACCAAGCTACCAGCAGATGAGAAGTACAGATCCACCCTTCCCCTGCTGCTTCTACTTCTCCCTCTATTTTTCTCCTTCCTCATATGACTAATGCTGTATGACTAGTACCAACAAGAAGGCCAGGGTCTTGCTCTTGAGCAGCACCCTGCATTGTGTAGCTTGCTCCAAGAGCCCCGTCTCTTTATCAGTGTGGTGTTGCCTGGTGCAACACTTATGATCTTATTGATTATGTACTATGCTAGCCACCCACTCAACCTCCCTCTTCATCAGGCTCTCACACTTCAGGTCAGACTTGTGGCAGATGAGGGTGAACAGAGGGGTGAGCAGAGAAGGAGGTTGGAAGATCAGATTCAAAGTGGAGCATCCTCAAGACCTACTCCTTTACTCATGGCCAAAGTGTCAGGGCAAGGTGGTCTTCTCCCAAGCCTCCCCTCACCCAGAAAGAATGGGTACAAGTATTCTGTAATAACTATATTACCTAGTTTCTGTACTTGATATTTTACATGCTGGTTGGCCCAACTTTATTAAAAGACATAATGTTAGATAAAGCAGAAGTTATAATAGTATATTGTTGTGTTTATAAAATATATAACTATGTGTTAATAACACAAAGGAATGGAACAGAAATGAAAATATATACAGAAAGATTGTTATATTTTACTGGAATTAAGTTAGCATTAAGTGGAATAAGCAGTATAAATTAATGTGTGTATTTAATCTGTAGAGCAACCATTAAGAATATAACCCCAAAAAACCCACAAAGCCTCCCCCCAAAATTGCTTAGATA